CAACACACAGGTAACTACACTATCAGTGTGCTGTAGTGAGAGGCAGCAACACACAGGTAACTACACTATCAGTGTGCTGTAGTGAGAGGCAGCAACACACAGGTAACTACACTATCAGTGTGCTGTAGTGAGAGGCAGCAACACACAGGTAACTACACTATCAGTGTGCTGTAGTGAGAGGCAGCAACACACAGGTAACTACACTATCAGTGTGCTGTAGTGAGAGGCAGCAACACACAGGTAACTACACTATCAGTGTGCTGTAGTGAGAGGCAGCAACACACAGGTAACTACACTATCAGTGTGCTGTAGTGAGAGGCAGCAACACACAGGTAACTACACTACCAGTGTGCTGTAGTGAGAGGCAGCAACACACAGGTAACTACACTACCAGTGTGCTGTAGTGAGAGGCAGCAACACACAGGTAACTACACTATCAGTGTGCTGTAGTGAGAGGCAGCAACACACAGGTAACTACACTATCAGTGTGCTGTAGTGAGAGGCAGCAACACACAGGTAACTACACTACCAGTGTGCTGTAGTGAGAGGCAGCAACACACAGGTAACTACACTCTCAGTGTGCTGTAGTGAGAGGCAGCAACACACAGGTAACTACACTATCAGTGTGCTGTAGTGAGAGGCAGCAACACACAGGTAACTACACTACCAGTGTGCTGTAGTGAGAGGCAGCAACACACAGGTAACTACACTATCAGTGTGCTGTAGTGAGAGGCAGCAACACACAGGTAACTACACTATCAGTGTGCTGTAGTGAGAGGCAGCAACACACAGGTAACTACACTATCAGTGTGCTGTAGTGAGAGGCAGCAACACACAGGTAACTACACTATCAGTGTGCTGTAGTGAGAGGCAGCAACACACAGGTAACTACACTACCAGTGTGCTGTAGTGAGAGGCAGCAACACACAGGTAACTACACTCTCAGTGTGCTGTAGTGAGAGGCAGCAACACACAGGTAACTACACTACCAGTGTGCTGTAGTGAGAGGCAGCAACACACAGGTAACTACACTACCAGTGTGCTGTAGTGAGAGGCAGCAACACACAGGTAACTACACTACCAGTGTGCTGTAGTGAGAGGCAGCAACACACAGGTAACTACACTACCAGTGTGCTGTAGTGAGAGGCAGCAACACACAGGTAACTACACTACCAGTGTGCTGTAGTGAGAGGCAGCAACACACAGGTAACTACACTATCAGTGTGCTGTAGTGAGAGGCAGCAACACACAGGTAACTACACTACCAGTGTGCTGTAGTGAGAGGCAGCAACACACAGGTAACTACACTATCAGTGTGCTGTAGTGAGAGGCAGCAACACACAGGTAACTACACTATCAGTGTGCTGTAGTGAGAGGCAGCAACACACAGGTAACTACACTATCAGTGTGCTGTAGTGAGAGGCAGCAACACACAGGTAACTACACTCTATCAGTGTGCTGTAGTGAGAGGCAGCAACACACAGGTAACTACACTCTCAGTGTGCTGTAGTGAGAGGCAGCAACACACAGGTAACTACACTACCAGTGTGCTGTAGTGAGAGGCAGCAACACACAGGTAACTACACTACCAGTGTGCTGTAGTGAGAGGCAGCAACACACAAGTAACTACACTATCAGTGTGCTGTAGTGAGAGGCAGCAACACACAGGTAACTACACTATCAGTGTGCTGTAGTGAGAGGCAGCAACACACAGGTAACTACACTATCAGTGTGCTGTAGTGAGAGGCAGCAACACACAGGTAACTACACTACCAGTGTGCTGTAGTTAGAGGCAGCAACACACAGGTAACTACACAATCATTAAGAAACTTTAACCATAACATTGTGTAAGTAGCACCACATATTATACTGTAATTGTAAGCAAGCACTAAATCCGCAGGGGCCAAGTAGCACCCACACAAAACTCATGAATCGTTCAGAGTGAATACTGAGATGCTTGGTGTCTCAGTATGTACATAGGTCACTCTTCCTGTCTATTGTACCATCAACTCATGTACCTAGCTCACTGTTTTTGTCTATTGTACCATTACCTCATGTACATAGCTCACTGTTCTTGTCTATTGTACCATCAACTCATGTACCTAGCTCACTGTTCTTGTCTATTGTACCATCAACTCATGTACCTAGCTCACTGTTCTTGTCTATTGTACCATCAACTCATGTACCTAGCTCACTGTTCTTGTCTATTGTACCATCAACTCATGTACCTAGCTCACTGTTCTTGTCTATTGTACCATCAACTCATGTACCTAGCTCACTGTTCTTGTCTATTGCACCATCAACTCATGTACCTAGCTCACTGTTCTTGTCTATTGTACCATCAACTCATGTACCTAGCTCAATGTTCTTGTCTATTGTACCATCAACTCATATACCTAACTCACTGTCCTCCTCAACTCATGCACTTAGCTCAGTCCTCCTCAACTCATGCACGTACCTTTAACCCTTATATATAATACAGAAAATTTTGTATTAATCAGTGCTGGCCAACCCACACAAATTTAACCCACAAAAGTGTTACATCTTACGACATTTTGTATAAATAAAAGTGTTACATCTTACGACATTTTGTATAAATAAAAGTGTTACATCTTACGACATTTTGTATAAATAAAAGTGCTTTTAGAAACAGGACTTAGCATTAGAAATAGACTCAGGTGAAAAGGCAGCTTTTGTTAATTTTTTTGCTCTTTAACCCGTAAACGGTCCAAACGTATATATACGTTTTTTCAACACTTGAAAGTATGTAAAAAAAGTAGATCTTTTTGTTTTTTTACATTTGGAAATGTGTAAAAAAAACGTATATCTACTTTTTGTTTTTTTGCATTTGAAAATATGTAAAAAAAACGTATATCTACTTTCGTAGCTCTACACGTGTGAACGTAGATCTGCTTGGACCGTTTACGGGTTAAGATGAAATGAGATGTGATTCGTTCAGGTTTTTAACCGGGAAGATTAGCCACCAAAGATAACCTGAGGTAAGGAGTATTATCCACAAGGGATAACCCAGGATATGGAGTGTTAGCCAGCCAGGATAACCCAGGGTAGGGAGTGTTAGCCAGCCAGGATAACCCAGGGTAGGGAATGTTAGCCAGCCAGGATAACCCAGGATATGGAGTGTTAGCCAGCCAGGATAACCCAGGGTAGGGAGTGTTAGCCAGCCAGGATAACCCAGGGTAGGGAGTGTTAGCCAGCCAGGATAACCCAGGGTAGGGAGTGTTAGCCAACCAGGATAACCCAGGGTAGGGAGTGTTAGCCAGCCAGGATAACCCAAGAAAGTCAGAGCAGCATCGAGGAGTCTGTCTGTCTTATTTCCATTGCGGTTCTTCAATCTTGCCCCCCCAAGAAGCCCCCATGCCAGTCCACTAACACCCAGATACCTACTTAATGCTAGGTGAACAGTGATAGCAAGTGTAAGGTGACTAACACCCAGGTACCTACTTACTGATAGGTGAACAGGGACAGTATGTGTAAGGAAGCACATACATCATTTCCACCCATGTTGGAGAGTGAACCCAGACACCCAGCATGTGAGGTGAGAGCGCTGCCAACAAGGCCATGGGACACCATATTGTTTTATCTTATAAGATCTACACAGAACAAAATAGTCACAGAAACTTGTACCAGACCCTTGAGCATAAAAAGAATCCACAACTATGTACATTAACCCATACCTATGATATACCTTTGATGAGTTTCAAGTCTTTCTACTCCCAGAGCCCGGCCATAGGTCATGCTCGTCTGGTGCTAGCCTGGTCAACCAGGATTTAACAGATTAATAGGGAGGAGTGTGTGACTGGTAATGTTGATTACAGTAGGCAGAAACAAGCTGCTGTGACTGTAACATCAGCAGACTATGTTGTAACCAAAAGATATCTGCTGTGTCTGTGACTGTAATAACAGCAGACAATACTGTAATCAACAAACCCATCCACCACTGTTGCTGCTGTAGCCAACAGATATCCACTGTTTCTGTGACTAGCAACAGCAGACAATACTGCAACCCAACAACCCATCCACCACTGTTGCTGCTGTAGCCAACAGATATCCACTGTTTCTGTGACTAGCAACAGCAGACAATACTGCAACCAACAAACCCATCCACCACTGTTGCTGCTGTAGCCAACAGATATCCACTGCTTCTGTGACTAGCAACAGCAGACAATGCCATAACCAAAAGATATCTGCCATTTCTGTGACTATAACAACAGCAGACAATGCTGTAACCAACAGTCATCCACTGTGTCTGAAGTAACTGACCCAGCAGATCGTTTCCGATATTTTAGACATCCATTACTCTGAGGCTACTTCCTGTTTTAGTATTAAGTAGCCTTCATGGTAGTCTAAGTTGACCTACAATGAGACCATACAATAAGTGTCAGGGGCCCGAGACTGTTCAACTGCCTCCCAGCATACATAAGGGGGATTACCAACAGACCCCTGGCAGTCTTCAAGCTGGCACTGGACAAGCACCTAAAGTCGGTTCCTGACCAGCCAGGCTGTGGCTCGTACGTTGGTTTGCGTGCAGCCAGCAGCAACAGCCTGGTTGATCAGGCTCTGATCCACCAGGAGGCCTGGTCACAGACCAGGCCGTGGGGGCGTTGACCCCCAGAACTCTCTCCAGGTAAACTCCAGGTATACAATGCTGTACATAATGACAGTCTTCAAATGAACATATATTTTTGTATAATGATTTGATATTAAATTATCATTATGTAAGCCTCTTATTTACCTTCATATTTTCTTCATTACTGTCTATAGTATACTTTTGTATTCACAAAAAAATGCTGGAATTAAGATACTCGGAGCAGACAATTTATATTTAATACTTCATCACTGTTGATAAAGTCCGAGGCTAAAGCTGGGCTTTATCAAGCAAGATAGTGATGGAGTGAGTGATGGTGAAAGAGTTTCTTCTTTTTTTCAGGTTACTCGGCCTTGGTGGGAATGGCCGAGGTGTCAAAAAAAAAAGTAAAGTCTAAAGTTAAGACTTGGCTTTATCAAGCACAATACAGTCCAAGACTAAAGCCGGGCTTTATGAAGTGTGATAAGCCCAGCCACAGCCAAAACATTGCAGTAAAAAGATTCTCTGCTACCAGAATTTTAATTTCCACTTGTCGTCTTTCCCCATTGTCCACCGTAACAAAAACTTCTTTACACTTCTAAATGATCATTGTTTAGAGCCAAGTGGACTTTTCAGAGGCTGTTATGCCCTCGTTCTGCAGTCTTGTGATGAGCGGCTTGTATATATCACGGGTGAATGGCAGTATTATGCCGTGGCCCTGGATTTCTCCATCCAAAACCATCCTGGTGGTGATAGCTGCGGGGTAGCCCACAGTCTTCGCCATGGCTGAATACCCGTTAGCTTCACCATACGACACCAGATTGATTCCTTTGAGCTCCTGCCTGCCGTCGGGCCAAGTGATGCCAATCTCGTGGCGGAGAACGACTAAATCTCGCTCGCCAGGTCCTGTCAAGAAAAAATTATCATTAGCTTCAAATTTTTTCACAGTAAATCAAAATTTATCATACATCTTTCTACATTATTTTAAACGGAAATAAATCCAATAAATAAGTTACAAGTTTATTATTTTATAACAACAATAATAATAACTGGAAAACCAGTTATGTAACATTTACTTGTAGTTATAATAATAAGCTTCAGTTTTATAATAAAGGCAGACTATAAAGTAATTTATATATATAAATCCATCACCTTAACTCTGTATATGAATAAAATTTACTCCACTTTATAGAATAAAGTATGTTTATTACCTGGAGTTTACCTGGAGAGAGTTCCGGGGGTCAACGCCCCCGCGGCCCGGTCTGTGACCAGGCTTCATGGTGGATCAGGGCCTGATCAACCAGGCTGTTACTGCTGGCTGCACGCAGTAACTTTATGAGGTACATAATAACGTAGTTTACGTAAAGGAAAACATTGGTAAGCGCAACAGTAAATTACTAGTATGCAATGTATTTCAGATAAGTACAGTAAATCCTCAGATTAATATAGTGGGCTGGTAGTGGAGATTGTGATGGATTGTTACACTGTTTTGCCCTGATTGTAACAATAATAATAATAATATAATACCTTTATTTCTACACGTACATGTACAAGGTATACCTGGAGTTTACCTGTAGAGAGTTCCGGAGGTCAACGCCCCCGCGGCCCGGTCTGTGACCATAGCTGAAATCAGTGACATACTACTATATACAGGTCAGCCATCACTAATCCGACAATCAGTTATCCGGTTCTATCAGTAATCCGGCACTAATTTCGGCTAGCATAATTTCAAATTTCATCATTATACTGACTCAGAAATTGTGCAGATGGTTGTAAATCCACAGCAACAAGCCAATGGAGGAGAAAGCAGTGATGAAAATGAGGAAGATGTAGCAGAAAGTCTGTTGATAGGTTAAGCATATTCTAACCTAACCACTCTGTACTCCGGCAAACTCACTAATCCGGCACACTACAGGTCCCAATGATGCCAGATTAGTGATGGCCAACCTGTATAGAAAGTCCCTTGTTATGCTGAGCATTTCCCATAAATTAGGTCAGTTTTGTCCCAGGATGTAACCCACACTAGTCCACTAACACTCAGGTACCTATTTTACTGATGGGTGAACATACACAAACGGTGTAAGGAAACATGTCCAATGTTTCCACCCTCGCTGGGACTCGAACACAGACCATCGGTATGTGAAGCTAGAGCTTTCACCACCAGACCACAGCCACCCACAATGGACTTTTCTGCAACCAACAGATTTTCTCTACTATTTCAAAGTCCATTAAATTACTCAGTGGATTTTGACTGGCATTCCTGAAGTCCATTAAATTAAGAATTTCTTATAACCTGGACACAGTTGATAATGAAGGCAGTGGTGCAGCCATGAAAGGGGGGGCTAAGGGGGCTACAGTCCCCCCGAGGCAATTTAACGGTTAATTTTAATGGTATTATACTAGTTTTTGACCCTGAAAGCATGATACCTGGAGTATTCCTGAAGAGCATTCTGGGGGTCATCAATGCCCCTCATGACCCAGTCCACGATCAGCCCTCACGGTGGAGCAGGATCTTATCAACTTTTTTTTTTATTGATGGCCACACACATACATGCTCAAGAAATGGATCATACATACTAAAAAGCATATGTTTTTCAAAAAACTATTTCTTTCTTACTTACTAGTTCCAAAAACTGAAATAGTTACGCAATTTTCAATTTAGTAGGCCTTGTGTGAGAGTGGTTAACTGGGCCATAATCCACAGATTCTTCAATAGATATATATACACCTACCATCCGACTTACGACCGAGTTCGGTTCCGAGAAACCGGTCGTAAGTCGAACTTTACTACTGAATATCAACAAAACATTTTTGTAATGACTTTATTTTATTGTTTTATTTTGGTATTTCATGTTTTACTTTACTTTTTATGTTGTTAGTACTGTGTTTTATACTGTAAGGTTTAGCATAAACACTGTGTACAACACAAATACTGGTTTATTTCCCAGAAATTTGGCATAAAAAACACGGCGTAAGTCGAGTGGTCATAAGTCGAGCAGATTGTAAGTCGGATGGTAGGTGTACCAAGTTTGAAGCTGTAGGAGGAAGTATCAAAAGAGATACATACCACCCAGGAGAATTACAATAGCTAAAGAGAGTATCAAGAGAGATATACATACCAAAGTCAAGGCGCTTGGAGAGGTAGTTTGAGAGAGTATCAAGGGGAGTGTTGTCCTTGTGAACCTGGTCGTCCTTCAGTAAGCCCAGAGCTTCGATGCTGTTAAGCTGCACCTCAGACCCGACTCTCTCCAACACCAGCGCTCTCAAGTTGTCATAGAAGATGTTAGAGTCTAGTTGACCTAGCAGATTACACACCAATTGTCTCTGCAAGGCAAGTTCAGAATCCAAAATCAAAATTTTTATTTCTCTGCATAGTATATGTGTAATTTATTTATTTTATTAACACATCGGCCATTTCCCACCAAGGCAGGGTGGCTGGAAAAAGAAAAACTTTCACCATCATTCACTCCATCACTATCTTACCAGAGGCATGCTTACAGTACAGTTATAAAACTCCAACGTTAACACCCGTCCTTCAGAGTGTAATTAAAATGAAATAAAGTACAGTGGTACCTCAGCATACCCACACCTCAAACTATTATGTAAGTGTATTTTTGTAAGTGCTTTTGTAAGTACAGTGGACCCCCGCTTTACGATCACCTCCCAATGCGACCAATTATGTAAGTGTATTTATGTAAGTGCGTTTGTATGTGTATGTTTGGGGGTCTGAAATGGACTAATGTAATTCACAATAGTCCTTATGGGAACAAATTCGGTCAGTACTGGCACCTGAACATACTTCTGGAATGAAATAATATCGTAAACCGGGGGTCCACTGTATATTTTTAGGGGTCTAAAACGGATTAATCTAATTTACATTATTCCTTATCGGAACAAATTCGTTCGGTATCGGCACTCAAATAGCCTTCCAGTACGAATTAATTTTGTGTCCTGAGGTACCATTTTATCGTTAAGGACAAAGAAAGCCATTAGCATGCATGAGTATTTCAGGCATCTTTGTCTAAAAAAAAAAAATAGGTATTTTGACTTTTAAAATAATGGACATTTAGTCTAAATATTTTAATATTAGTGGTAAACAGGAAATAATACGAAAAATAACAAATTATCATCAGTTTCGATTAACCCGTAAACGGTCCAAGCAGATCTACGTTCACATGTGTAGAGCTACAAAAGTAGATCTACGTTTTTTTTACATATTTTCAAATATAACAAAAAAAAAAGTAGATCAAAGTTTTTTTACACATTTTCAAATGTAAAAAAACAAAAAGAAGATCTACTTTTTTTTACATACTTTCAAATGTTGAAAAAACGTATATATACGTTTGGACCGTTTACGAGTTAAAATAATGGACATTTAGTCTAAATATTTTAATATTAGTGGTAAGCGGGAAATAATATGTAAAATAACAAATAATCATCAGTTTCGACTAAAAGTGTGAAAACGTGTTTTTAGCAAAAAATAAACAATGTCGACAATTGCCATTTATAAACAGAGGAAAAAACAGAATAATATGAAAGAAAATATATAAACAAAACAAAAAAAATGGGGTCATTTTTTTAAAAAAAGAAAAACAGGTCAACGTTCCAACAAAACAAACAACAGCCGTTTTTTTAACAAAAAAGTTAATACGCAAATAAAAGATAGTAATGTACAGACAAACAATATATTTGCAATAAGTACAATTATACTACAGATATGACGTGACAGAAAGTATCTGTTACATTTTGTCAAGGAGAGAGAGTGTCTTGACACTGCTGGAAGGCTTTAGATGCAAGGAACTGGAGTTGCCATCCTGTTTCTTGCATCCAACCTCATTGCTACCCATATTCCAGGTACTGTGTGACCTGGAGGTGTACCTGGAGTACACCTGGAGGTGACAGTACCTGGCAGTGACAGTATCTGGGGTGACAGTACCTGGAGAGGACAGTACCTGGCAGTGACAATATCTGGGGTGACAGTACCTGGAGGGGACAGTACCTGGCAGTGACAATATCTGGGGTGACAGTACCTGGAGAGGACAGTACCTGGCAGTGACAATATCTGGGGTGACAGTACCTGGAGGGGACAGTACCTGGCAGTGACAATATCTGGGGTGACAGTACCTGGGTGCAAAAGTACCTGGGGTGACAGTACCTGGAGTGACAGTACATGTGGTACAAACACTGTTAAGACAGTTTTGAGTGGAGGACTTACCCAGGTAATATCAGGTCTGAGTGGAGGTCTTACCCAGGTAATATCAGGTCTGAGTGGAGGTCTTACCCAGGTAATATCAGGCCTGAGTGGAGGTCTTACCCAGGTAATATCAGGTCTGAGTGGAGGTCTTACCCAGGTAATATCAGGTCTGAGTGGAGGTCTTACCCAGGTAATATCAGGTCTGAGTGGAGGTCTTATCCAGGTAATGTCAGGTCTGAGTGGAGGTCTTACCCAGGTAATATCAGGTCTGAGTGGAGGTCTTACCCAGGTAATATCAGGTCTGAGTGGAGATCTTACTCAGGTAATATCAGGTCTGAGTGGAGGTCTTACCCAGGTAATATCAGGTCTTACTCAGGTAATATCAGGTCTGAGTGGGTCTTACTCAGGTAATATCAGGTCTGAGTGGGTCTTACTCAGGTAATATCAGGTCTGAGTGGAGGTTTTGCTCAGGTAATATCAGGTCTGAGTGGAGGTCTTACCCAGGTAATATCAGGTCTTACCCAGGTAATATCAGGTCTGAGTGGAGGTCTTACCCAGGTAATATCAGGTCTGAGTGGAGGTCTTACCCAGGTAATATCAGGTCCTCCTCGATGCAACATTGGGTGAGGCTCAGGATCAATCAGTCCGATCTTCTGAAGGCTCTTGACGACGTCAGAGAAGCCTCGGAAGCGGAGGGTACCTCTAAGAACAGTCTTAGCCTCCAGGATGCCGTACAGGCTTCGGTAGATCGTGGAGTCCCGGTTCGGGAAGCCCTCAAGTGCCAGACCCGGCAGGAATGTAAACTCTTTAGTCTCCTCCAGCAGTCTACCTCCGGGAGGAATTTCTATGACCTGTGGAAATATAATCTAATGTGAAAAGTTAAGAATAATAAAAATATAATATAGGAAACAGATGCACCACCCCCATGGGCTTAGAGCTTCCCCATAAATATGATAAGAGGTTCCTTCCTTGTTGAGGTTCAGTTCCTGGACCCGTTATGTGATTGTGTGAGATTGTGACTACTGCCCATGAGATGGGTGTGTGGTGTCTACTGCCCCCAGGTTGGGTGCCCAATGGAAGGGTATTTAGTGACTAGTGCCCACAGGATGGGTATGGCATACATAAAAATATCAAACCATTCCCCAGGCAATGTACAACTCTAAGGAATTTACCAATTTCCATGTAAAAATAACTTTTAAACTTGCCTCTCCATTTTCAATGTACTTGGCGCCAGACAGAGTATTGAGAAGAACACCTTGTGGACTCCAAGAGAACTTATAACGTAGAGGGTTGTCAGAGAACTCTGGAGCTGGCAGCCCTCCACAGTAAGATACAAATGAGTCGATCTTTCCACCTCCTCGTTGAACCTGAAAATGATGAGCGAGAAAGGTCATTTTTAGTCGAACTTGAGTTCTGGTGAGGGAAGCACAGTGTCTATACTCTGAAGGATGGGTGGTGGTGGTGGTGGTGGGGGAAGCACAGTGTCTGTACTCTGAAGGATGGGTGGTGGTGGTGGGGGAAGCACAGTGTCTGTACTCTGAAGGATGGGTGGTGGTGGTGGGGGAAGCACAGTGTCTGTACTCTGAGGGATGGGTGGTGGTGGTGGGGGAAGCACAGTGTCTGTACTCTGAGGGATGGGTGGTGGTTGGGGAAATACAGTGCCTGTACTCTGAAGGATGGGTGGTGGTGGGAAATACAGTGTCTGTACTCTGAAGGATCGGTGGTGGTGGTAAGATAAGATAAGATAAGATTTCGTTCGGATTTTTAACCCCGGAGGGTTAGCCACCCAGAATAACCCAAGAAAGTCAGTGCGTCATCAAGGACTGTCTAACTTATTTCCATTGGGGTCCTTAATCTTGTCCCCCAGGATGCGACCCACACCAGTCGACTAACACCCAGGTACCTATTTGCTGCTAGGTGAACAGGACAACAGGTGTAAGGAAACGTGTCGAAATGTTTCCACCCGCCGAGAATCGAACCCGGGCCCTCCGTGTGTGAAGCGGGAGCTTTAGCCACCAGGCCACCGGGCCTGTCTGTACTCTGAAGGATGGGTGGTGGTGGTGGGAAGTACAGTGTGTGTACTCTGAGGCAGAGGCAAGAACACCACAGTTCAGAGGGTCATCTGAACTGTGATGTCACCACAATCCTGACAAGACAGTGACTGAATGAATGATGGTGTAGGTGTTTCCTTCTCAGTGTAGGGTGACCAGATAAGTAAGGGCAGTTAAGTGGTTTTTACCAAGAAATATACACCTCACAGTGTAGTTTGTATGGCTTATATAATAATAATAATAATAATAATAATAATAATAATAATGGGAGCAAGAGGGTAGTAAGTCTTTCTCCTTCATAAATTACTGAATTTAAACAGAAAAACTTTACGTTTTTCTGTTTTGGGTCACCCGTCCTCAGTGGGATACAGTCGGTGTGTTGAAGAAATAACAATAATGATTTACCTCTTCGAAGCATTCCATAGCTAGAAGATGGTCAATGCCGGGGTCGAGACCCACTTCGTTGACCACAGTGATCCCAGCATTGATTGCAGCCTCTTTGAGCTCCATCATGGCCGGCGTGCAGTATGACGCTGTCACCATGTTGGTCTGAAATGTGCAAATATTATATATACTCCACTATAGATAAAAAGAATACATTCACCATCACTCAGTCAACAACTATCACAGCTCATATGACCCTCTGAATTTCAATACCCTCAAGTATCCTTCAGAGTGCTGGCACTGTACTTCCCACCTCCAGGACTCAAGTCCGGCTAACCAGTTTCCCTGAATCCCTTCAGAAATGTCACCTTACACACACTCCACCAGCACATCAAGTTATAGCAACCATTTGTCTCCACTCACTCAGATCAAACATGCTTACACGAGCCTGCTGGATGTTCAAGTACCTACTACATATTAACAAGGTTCAAGTACCTACTACATATTAACAAGGTTCAAGTACCTACTACATATTAACAAGGTTCAAGTACCTACTACATATTAACAAGGTTCTATTTACTGCTATGCGAACAAGAAAATCAAGTGCAAGGAGAATACTGTACAAGTACCTATTTACTGCTATGTAAAGAAAGCAGGAGTAAGATGACTAACTCTTGGGTACCTATTTACTGATATATGAGCAAAGAAAGCAAGTGTAAGGAGTCTAGCTTACAGGTACCTATTAACTGCCATGTGAGCCAAAAAAGCTGGTGTAAGGAGACTTACTCACAGGTACCTACTTACTGCCATGTGAACCAAGAAAGTAGGAATAAGGACACTTGCCAAACACTCCCTCTATTATTCTGACAGTTACAACAAACCTTCTGTTGTATGCAGTGTTTGGCAACCTCATGATGGAGAGAGTACGGCAGCAGCGACACCACAACATCCGCACTCTTTACCAAGTCTTCCAGAAGATCTGGACGCTCTACTACATCCAGAAGCACAGACTCCACATTGTGGTGTTTGACAGCCAGAGCATCCGCCTCGTCCTGGAGCCCCGAAGCTGTGTGTAGGAGAGATACACAGTGAAAAAAACATACAATGCCCCATTTTACAGTGCTTCGCTTCACAGCATTTTGCTAATACAGTTGTTTTCAATTACCATAGCCACTCTTCATTTATTCAGACTTCTTTCTTTCTTTCAACACACCTGCCGTATCCCACCGAGGCGGGGTGACCCAAAAGGAAAAAGCGAAAGTTTCTCCTTTTACATTTAGTAATATATACAGGAGAAGGGGTTACTAGCCCCTTGCTCCCGGCATTTTAGTCGCCTCTTACAACACGCATGGCTTAGGGAGGAAGAATTCTGTTCCACTTCTCCATGGAGATAAGAGGAAATAAACAAGAATAAGAACTAGAAAGAAAATAAAAGAAAACCCAGAGGCGTGTGTATATATATGCTTGTACATGTATGTGTAGTGTGACCTAAGTGTAAGTAGAAGTAGCAAGACGTACCTGAAATCGTGCATGTTTATGAGACAGATAAAAGACACCAGCAATCCTACCATCATGTAAAACAATTACAGGCTTTCGTTTTACACTCACTTGGCAGGACAGTAGTACCTCCCTGGGCGGTTGCTGTCTACCAACCTACTACCACAGGACGGTAGTACCTCCCTGGGTGGTTGCTGTCTACCAACCTACTACCACAGGACAGTAGTACCTCCCTGGGTGGTTGTTGTCTACCAACCTACTACCACAGGACGGTAGTACCTCCCTGGGTGGTTGCTGTCTACCAACCTACTACCACAGGAAAGTAGTACCTCCCTGGGTGGTTGCTGTCTACCAACCTACTACCACAGGATGGTAGTACCTCCCTGGGTGGTTGCTGTCTACCAACCTACTACCACAGGATGGTAGTACCTCCCTGGGTGGTTGTTGTCTGCCAATCTACTAACTATAATTTATTCAGACATGCTACAGTAAATATATTCACCACCCAGGGAGGTACTACCGTCCTGTGGTAGTAGGTTGGTAGACAGCAACCACCCAGGGAGGTACTACCATCCTGTGGTAGTAGGTTGGTAGACAGCAACCACCCAGGGAGGTACTACCGTCCTGTGGTAGTAGGTTGGTAGACAGCAACCACACAGGGAGGTACTACCATCCTGTGGTAGTTGGTTGGTAGACAGCAACTACCCAGGGAAGTACTACCGTCCTGTGGTAGTAGGTTGGTAGACAGCAACCACCCAGGGAGGTACTACCGTCCTGTGGTAGTAGGTTGGTAGACAGCAACCACCCAGGGAGGTACTACCGTCCTGTGGTAGTAGGTTGGTAGACAGCAACCACCCAGGGAGGTACTACCGTCCTGTGGTAGTAGGTTGGTAGACAGCAACCACCCAGGGAGGTACTACCATCCTGTGGTAGTAGGTTGGTAGACAGCAACCACCCAGGGAGGTACTACCGTCCTGTGGTAGTAGGTTGGTAGACAACAACCACCCAGGGAGGTACTACTGTCCTGTGGTAGTAGGTTGGTAGACAGCAACTGCCCAGGGAGGTACTGCTGTCCTGTGGTAGTAGGTTGGTAGACAGCAACCACCCAGGGAGGTACTACCATCCTGTGGTAGTAGGTTGGTAGACAACAACCACCCAGGGAGGTACTATTGTCCTGTGGTAGTAGGTTGGTAGACAGCAACCACCCAGGGAGGTACTACCATCCTGTGGTAGTAGGTTGGTAGACAACAACCACCCAGGGAGGTACTACTGTCCTGTGGTAGTAGGTTAGTAGACAGCAACCACCCAGGGAGGTACTACCATCCTGTGGTAGTAGGTTGGTAGACAGCAACCACCCAGGGAGGTACTACCGTCCTGTGGTAGTAGGTTGGTAGACAGCAACCACCCAGGGAGGTACTACCGTCCTGCCAAGTGAGTGTAAAACGAAAGCCTGTAATTGTTTTACATGATGGTAGGATTGCTGGTGTCCTTTTTTCTGTCTCATAAACATGCAAGATTTCAGGTGCGTCTTGCTACTTCTACTTACACTTAGGTCACACTACACATACATGTACAAGTATATATATACACACCCCTCTGGGTTTTCTTCTATTTTCTTTCTAGTTCTTATTCTTGTTTATTTCCTCTTATCTCCATGGAGAAGTGGAACAGAATTCTTCCTCCGTAAGCCATGCATATTGTAAGAGGCGACTAAAATGCCGGGAGCAAGGGGGCTAGTAACCTCTTCTCCTGTATATATTACTAAATGTAAAAGGAGAAACTTTTGTTTTTCCTTTTGGGCCGCCCTGCCTTGGTGGGATACGGCAGGTGTGTTGAAAGAGGAAGAAGTAATGTGTGCACTGTATATGTATTTTTTAGGCCTAACTCTATTGCTCACTTTATATATGATAGTGTAAATATGTTATCAGACTTTCATAGGCTATGTATCACTTTACAGCAGTAGCCCAGAACCTAACCTGCTGTATAAGTGGGGCCTTCCTGTACAGCAGTAGCCCAGAACCTAACCTGCTGTATAAGTGGGGCCTTCCTGTACAGCAGTAGCCCAGAACCTAACCTGCTGTATAAGTGGGGCCTTCCTGTACAGCAGTAGCCCAGAACCTAACCTGCTGTATAAGTGGGGCCTTCCTGTACAGCAGTAGCCCAGAACCTAACCTGCTGTATAAGTGGGGCCTTCCTGTACAGCAGTAGCCCAGAACCTAACCTGCTGTATAAGTGGGGCCTTCCTGTACAGCAGTAGCCCAGAACCTAACCTGCTGTATAAGTGGGGTCTTCCTGTACAGCAGTAACCCAGAACCTAACCTGCTGTATAAGTGGGGCCTTCCTGTACAGCAGTAACCCAGAACCTAACCTGCTGTATAAGTGGGGCCTTCCTGTACAGCAGTAGCCCAGAACCTAACCTGCTGTATAAGTGGGGCCTTCCTGTACAGCAGTAGCCCAGAACCTAACCTGCTGTATAAGTGGGGCCTTCCTGTATAATGCGATCCAGTATTGCCTGTGATACTCCAATACTGAAACTATGTACTGTGCCAAAACAAAAGCATTCACATTGCTAAACTCACAAACTAGTATTTAGTCACTTAGCCATAATACCAACTTACCTCATAATTTGTAATATTTTAAATTTAAGAATTAATCTAAGTGCCTGAAATGCCTAGCCATGCTAGGTGTTCTAGTGGTACACTCTGTAATTAGTATTTTACTACATGTAAACCACACAATAACCAAATTCTGTAAACTCAGCATTGTAATCCTTATAGAGAATAAACTTTGAATTTGAATTTAAATTTTGAATTTGATGACATTTAGCCCACACGATGGGTTTTATCAAGTCACAAAGAGACATACCTAAGCAGAGAGTACGTGAGTGTATATAGGAGGACAGTGATGTAAAGAGTCAGGTGGGGAACGTAGGGAAGATTTGAGAAGGACCTTCACAGAAGGGGCAAGGAGGTTTGTTGTTATGTTAGGTGGTGGCCCGTAGCTCGGTCACTAGTGCACTCAGCTCACACACTGAGGTCCAGAGTTCGAATCTCCTCCAGCATGGCTGGAAACATTAGAGACATATTTCCATAAGACACCTGCTGTCCCTGTTCACCCATCAGTAAAATGGGTACCTGGGAGTTAGTCAACTGGTGTGGGTCACATCCTGGACAAAACTGACCTAATTTTGGGGAAATGCTCTGCATAACAAGGGGCTTTCTATATAGTAGTATGTCACTGATGTCAGCTATGGTCTGTATACCTTGTACATGTACTTGTATACCTTGTACATGTACTTGTATACCTTGTACATGTACTTGTAGAAATAAAGATATTATTATCAATCATTGTACTGTCACCAACGTCAAGGTATTGGATAAACTGGTCAGTCCCTGACAGACTTAAGGAGCACAAAGGAAGTGTTCACCTTGCTAACACCATCAATGTTCTTTTCTGTCACATCAGGGATGACAGTCACCTTAGTCACTGGTCTTCTGCTACGACTCTGCCCTTCTTGTTGAATCACCTCTTATTCATAACATTTCTAACGCATATCTTTATTCGTGTTAGCAGTGTTATTAGGTATGTGGGTAGTTACTAACAATAATCCCAATATTGGGATCCATGGAGAGATATTCCACCAGGGGAGCTGAGACATATGTAGGTAGGTAGATATGTACAGAGGAAGGTAGGTAAGTACATATGTAGATAGGTACATAGGCAGGTGGGTAGTTACCAACAATAATGCCAGTATTAGGATCCCTGGAGAGGTATTCCACCAGGGGAGCTGAGACATAACCAGCACCCAGCACCAGCACCTTGTGTTCCCTCCTCACAGTGTCCAACGCAGATTTACTCGTGGCTCTGAAGGCAGATGAGTCAACGTTAGTTTGATACTGACATAGTTAAGGATTATCATTATAACTCTGCTAACAAAAATGATGGGATCCAGTTCTTGGACCCAATGTGTGTGTGCGTGTAATATTCTGAATATTCTGATATCATATGCATTCTGTACCCATGGTATGAGTTACAGTGACCACATATCCATGGCATGGATAACAGTCAAAACATTACAGAGGCATATAATGGGTCCAGGAACTGAGACACAACACTAAACCACATCACAGCAGTAGTAAATGAGTTACAAAACTTACTGAGTTGAGATCAGTTTACTAAATAATACACACTAACTATATACACAAAATATGTAACCCAATAAGATTCATCCAACTAGGTATATTTCTACACCATAGGAAGGTTAGCACAGGCACCTCTGTAACCCAATTTCCTAATCTACCAAAGATTTAATCAATGGTAGCTGTAACACACAAAAGAAAGTCTACATCTACCTATAAACATATGCCACACCAGTGTTTATAATGTATATTTGAATACATTTTTGTCCGGTTTATTCCCAAATGTACTTTATAGTAATCTGTTTACATTAATGTTTTATCACTGATTTCATCATTGCTTAGTTAATCTTAAGTTAATTTTAAGCCAGCCCGTAATGCTATGCATAGTATAAGTGGCTTTGGCATGCTGCTCTTATCTGTATTTTTTTTTGTACCTCTGTATGTGTGCTCAAATTGTAATAAATAAATAAATAAATAAATAAAAAATGTATATACATACAGTGGAAGCCCCAGTGTCTGAACTTAATTGGTTCCTAAGTGGTGTTGGAACTGCAAAAACAGTATTTTCTCAGGCTTTATCAGCCTCACACACTGCAGGACACTGAACTGACTCTTCCAAAAGTCTCTGAGAGTCAGGTCAGTGTCAAAGGTCACTTCAAAGCAGGGCTTTCCTCTAATGCTTTTATACAATGAATTTTGAATAAGTCAATGCATTCCGATTTCAGAAAAATGTTCAAAGACTGGGTCAATTTCTTCTGAACAAAACTGTTCAGACTCTGGTTTGTTCAAGGGTTCCACTGTAGTGGAATATATGAAATGATTCTTTAAGCTACTGGGTTCCTATTTACTGGTAGTTGAGTATTGGCAGCAGCAGTAGGTGTTAGGTGACTTGTCCATACGTCTTTCCTAGCCCAGAAGGCCACCCACAACAGTCAACTAACACCCAGGTACCTACTTACTGTTAGATGAATAGGGACAGCAGTTACAATGCAACACAGCCAACACACAAGCAACACACACACAAGCAACACACACACAAGCAACACACACACACACACAAGCAACACACACACAAGCAACACACACACAAGCAACACACACACAAGCGACACACACACACAAGCGACACACACACACACACACAACACACACACACCACACAACACACACACAAGCAACACACACACAAGCAACACACACACACACAACACACACACACACACACAGCAACACACACACAAGCAACACACACACACACACAACACACACACACACACAACACACACACACACACACACACAACAACACACACACACACACACACACACACACACACACACACACACACACACAACACACACACACACACACACAACACACACACACACACACCACACACACACACACGTGTGGGTCCGTGGGGTGCAGACGTGGGTGCACAAGGCTCCGAGAACCCTAGTGTTTTTTAAGGCGTGCAGTAAATGCTAGCAGTAATCAGTGGTAGTGACATCGTCAGTGAACAATAATACGAGTGATAACTAAAGTTATTAGTTAAAAATAGTCGAGAGGAAGCTGAAATTATCAATATTTCAAAGCGCCAAGCCGTTGTGGGTCTATAGGCGCTGCTGCCACAGATTCAAACATACAAAGATCAAAGTGAGTGTGGAAGCGGCTGTTCAAGAATTATCAGCGTTTGGCTAACAAGTGAAATGTGGGGCACCATACAGTGAGAGTAAAAAAGTTAATAAGCAAAAAGGGAAAGGAAAAATAAAATATATAACAAGGGAAGGTGGCAGCAGTAGGCCTGCTTAAGCAGTGACGTCACGACAAGTTGGGTGTCATTATACATATAAAGTGAAGTGCATATAATGTGAAGTGTATACTATCATAAATGAAAAGTGAAATCGCGTGAGGAACGAGGGATGTATGAGCACATGTGGCTATAATCAACACGGGTGAAGGATCTCCAAAATAGGGATTTAAGGACTACGTACGACGACTTCGTCATCAGCATCTGGCAACTTGTCACGACCATTGCCAGCACAAGTATCACTCACTTATTTTGTGGTTTGCATGTTGCAGGCTTGTTCTGGCCTTGCATCACTGTTAGATACTGGTCACTCACTCCTGCAAGCTATTACAGTAGTTATTAGTAGTAAGAATACTTAGGAAGCTAGGAAGTCCTCTCTCAACGTGAACAAGGAATAGGATAATAACCAGCAATAATTGATACTTAAATCCAGAAAGGGCAATAAGTGGAGAGAGTAGCATTTCTAGGAAAGACAGTTGGAACAGAGAGGTATAACAGATCTTTAAACCACACCATCTACCCCCTTCCCTAACCATCCCTCTCTCACACACACACACACACACAAGGGCAGACACTCATAGAAGCTGTAGACCCTAGTAGCAATTTCCACTTTTTACAACCCAGAATTACTGGTATGTATTAACAGTATCTACCCCTCATACCTCCCCAATACACACGAATACACACGTATACACACATACACACACAGCTTTTAAGGGCAACATTGCAAGTAGGTGGGGTCAAGCCCCAGGAGAGTGGGGGTCAGGTCACAAGAAGTTGTGGCCAGTCAAGGACCACTGACTGACACACACACACACACACACACACACACACACACACACACACACACACACACACACACACACACACACACACACATACACACACACATGCACACGCACACACAGAGCCAGGAATGAGTATGCACAGGTAAGGAGGGAGGCCCAGCGACAGTATGAAAATGACATAGCATCGAGAATCAAGATTGACCCGAAACTGTTGTATAGCCACATCAGGAGGAAGACAACAGTCAAAGACCAGGTGATCAGATTAAGGACAGAAGGTGGAGAACTCACAAGAAATGATCAGGAGGTATGTGAGGAGCTGAACAGGAGATTTAAGGAAGTTTTTACAGTAGAGACAGGAAGGGCTGTGGGAAGACAGCACAGAAGGGAACATCAAGAGGGAATATACCAACAAGTGTTGGATGACATACGAACAACTGAGGAGGAGGTGAAGAAGCTCTTAAGTGACCTTGACACCTCAAAGGCGATGGGACCGGACAACATCTCCCCATGGGTCCTTAGAGAAGGAGCAGAGATGCTGTGCGTGCCTCTAACCACAATCTTCAACACATCCTAAAACTGGGCAACTACCTGAGAAATGGAAGACAGCTAATGTAGTCCCCATATTTAAGAAAGGAAACAGAAACAAGGCACTAAACTACAGACCTGTGTCTCTGACATGTATTGTGTGCAAAGTCATGGAGAAGATTATCAGGAGGAGAGTGGTCAAACACCTGGAAAGGAACAAGATTATAAATGAAAACCAGCATGGGTTCATGGAAGGCAAATCTTGTATCACAAACCTCCTGGAGTTTTATGACAAGGTAACAGAAGTAAGACACGAGAGAGAGGGGTGGGTAGATTGCGTTTTCCTAGACTGCAGGAAGGCCTTTGACACAGTTCCCCACAAGAGATTAGTGCAGAAGCTGGAGGATCAGGCGCATGTAAAAGGGAGGGCACTGCAATGGATAAGGGAATACCTGACAGGGAGGCAGCAACGAGTCATGGTACGTGAAGAGGTATCACAGTGGGTGCCTGTTACGAGCGGGGTCCCACAGGGGTCAGTTCTAGGACCAGTGCTATTTTTGATATATGTGAACGACATGATGGAAGGAATAGACTCTGAAGTGTCCCTGTTCGCAGATGACGTGAAGTTGATGAGAAGAATTAAATCGGACGAGGATGAGGCAGGACTGCAAAGAGACCTGGACAGGCTGGACATGTGGTCCAGTAACTGGCTTCTCGAATTCAATCCAGCCAAATGCAAAGTCATGAAGATTGGGGAGGGGCAAAGAAGACCGCAGACAGAGTATAGGCTAGGTGGACAAAGACTACAGACCTCACTCAGGAAGAAAGACCTTGGGGTGACCATAACACCGAGCACATCACCGGAGGCACACATCAACCAAATAACTGCTGCAGCATAGGGGCGCCTGGCAAACCTGAGAATAGCGTTCCGATACCTTAATAAGGAATCGTTCAAGACACTGTACACTGTGTATGTTAGGCCCATACTGGAGTATGCAGCACCAGTCTGGAACCCACACCTGGTCAAGCACGTCAAGAAGTTAGAGAAAGTACAAAGGTTTGCAACAAGGCTAGTCCCAGAGCTCAAGGGAATGTCGTACGAGGAAAGGTTAAGGGAAATCGGGCTGACGACACTGGAGGACAGAAGGGTCAGGGGAGACATGATAACGACATACAAGATACTGTGGGGAATAGACAAGGTGGACAGAGATAGGATGTTCCAGAGAGGGGACACAGGGACAAGGGGTCACAACTGGAAGCTGAAGACTCAGACGAGTCACAGGGACATTAGGAAGTATTTCTTCAGTCATGGGAGTTGTCAGCAAGTGGAATAGCCTAGCAAGTGAAGTAGTGGAGGCAGGAACCATACTAGTTTTAAGAAGAGGTATGACAAAGCTCAGGAAGCAGAGAGAGGACCCAGTAGCAATCAGTGAAGAGGAGGGGCCAGGAGCTGAGTCTCGACCCCTGCAACCACAATTAGGTGAGTACACACACACACACACACACACACACTCACACACACACACACACACACCCCACACACACACACACACACACACACACACACACACACACACACATAACATACACACACACCCAAAC